CGTTCTTTGTTTTGTTTTGAGGGTCACACATGGCAATGCTGAGGGGTAACTCCTGGCTCTACACTCAGGAATTAATATTAACTGTGCTCACGAGGCCCTATGGGATGCTGGGGATCAAGTCCAGACTAGCCATGTGCGAGGTAAGCAACTTCCGCCTCCTGTGGCTACTCTTAAACCCTAAATTGTACACATAGCTCAGCTCTATTTGCAGTGGACAGACTCAGGAGTCCTTATGCTGAGTGGAAAAGCTGTTTTCAGCCTTCCCTCAATCAGGATTCTCCCTCTGTTTCACCCCACTCCTCTCCACCCCCAGGCAGGAGATTCTTCTCTGGCACCTAAAATCCACTATACCACAAACCAATGATAAATGGATGGAAAATTAAGGAAAAAGAAAAATAATTCCTCTCTGGAACCATCTGTAGGACTGAAAATCCCCAAAGATACATAAATGGTAGAGACCCACCAATACTTTTTTCAGCTCAGGGTCCCCGAAGAGACACCCCCTGCCATAAGCCCATAGGTAGCTCTGATTTATTGGAGACTTGTAGAGAGTCAAGGTCACTGGCTTCTGAGGAAAGCTGATTTCATAAAAAAGAAGGATCAAACAGAGAAAAGGAACTCAGAGGAAACAGACCATCCAGGAGGAACTTGAACAAAACAAGGACACTGAAGATCATTAGGGAGATAGGAGGAGAGATTCTAGGACACAAACAGGATGACCCCCAAGGAGGAACATTCCCAGAACAAGGAAAAAAAGGATTGGAAATAGAATCCGTCCTAATCATGATGAAAAAAATTCAACAGATGGATGGGAGATAAAGACTAGGAACATTCCCAAAGCAGAACAAGCAATAGAACGAAAAGTGGGATAAATGAAATGAGAACATTAGAGGTCAATTCCAGCAGATTTTGTTGTTCCGACTGACTGCAAGTTTCAGAACATGGGGCTGGAGAGATAGAGATTAAGGTGTTTGCCTTGATGGCAGCTGATCCGGGGTTGGATTCCTGATATTGCACAGGGCTCCCTGAGCACAAAGCCAGGCGTAAGCCCTACATACAGCTAGGCGTGCCCTCCCCCTCAAACCTCCCCAGCTCAATTTGTTTTTGAAAATTTCAGAACAAAAATTAGAGGGAAAGAAATTACCCAATCGATAATGTAAGAGCAACTTCTAAGTTTCCAGAAGAAAGGGTGATGAGGGGCCAGCAAGATGCCTGGCAACAGTCCAGCAGCAAGTCAAATAAAGGCCCGTGATATTTCCCAGTACAGGACAAAGGGCAGGCCCTGCACCTGCAGGCAGGATGGGGCTGGGACGCCAAGGAGTGGAGGAAGCACATGGCATTTCCTGCCATGCCAGATGCCAACACAGAAGCCTTCGAAATTCGGGGCGGGGGGGGGGGGGGAGAAACGGGTGTTGCAACCTAATGTCTCTGCCTAACAAATTATTAGGCGAGAAAGTTGCACAAAGGTCTTTTCTGTTCTGCGATGCCCGGCGCTCTGGGGGAGATGCTCCCGCCTAGCTGAGGAGCGAACCCACGAGAAGATGCCAAGCACCCAACGGGGGGGCTCTGCGGAGGCAAGAGAAAGAAATTCTCAGTATGAAAGTTCAGGGGCCAGAGAAGGGAAGAGGCTGTAGAATGAGCACTGGGAGAGGAGCTCGGTTCCGAAATGAAGCAGGCAGCAGAGCGAGATCCCGGACAGCCTCTAAGAAAGTGCTAGAGAAGTTGCCCTGTCACCCACCCCGAAGCTGCTCAAAGACACAAAGGCTGCACCCCTCTTGGAGATGCAGAAACTGAGGTGGCCTCTCAGAGAAGGGAGGAGTCCCCACCCCCACCCCAGGAAAGGAGGAACTTCAAGAGAAACAAAAGACTGTGAGAAAAAAAAAAAACACTCAAATGCCAAAGTTCTTCCAGACCTCCTCAGCATCTCCTTGGCACTGTGCAGGCAGAGAGGCCAGGAGGGAAGGAATCACTGCTGCTCAATGGGCTGGTCTACCTCAGGGGGCACACAGTAGATGCTCAAGAAACATTGGAGGAAAGGAAGGCTCCCATGCCCTCATTTAAACATCTCCAAAACCCAAGATTGAAATGTTGTCACAGAAAAATGTTGTCTTCCCACTAATTACAAAATTATTTTGAGTGATGGGACTCCTCCCTCCCTCCTCTCCCTTCTCTCCCTGCTCTCTCTCCTCCACTCCCTCCCCTCTATCTCCCTTTCTCCCTCCTCCCACTCTCTTCCTCCCTCCCTTTCTCCCTCTTCCAAAAGTCTCTCTCTCCCTCCCCCTCCGTTTCCCTTCCCTCCCTCTCCCCTCCTACTCCCTCCTTCACTGTCCCTTTTCCTCCCTTCCCCTCTCTTCCCTCCCTCGATCCTTCCCTCCTTCCCTTTCTGTTTCCTTCCCACCCTCTCTTCTTCCCTCCTTCCTTCTTCCCTTCTCTCCCACCTTCGTTCCATTTATCTCCATAAGCATAAAGTGCTCAAAGAATGTTGAGTCCGTTAAGATGCTGATCTCACAGACACACATCCTGTGTCCCTGGGGAGATTCCTGCAGGCACAGGAGTGCAGGCTCCTGGCACCGGGCTCTGCACCATGCACAGCACCACGGAAAGAGACCCTGGTCCCAGGCGCTCTAGGACTATCGACATAGGAGGAAACTTTAAATTTCTGTAGAGCTGAAAGCTTCCCTTGGCCGAGGGTCTAACCAGGTTCCTAAATCTGAGAAGACACAGGACTCAGTGGACACTCTCAGCTCTGGTGTGAGTGACACTCATCTCCCTGGCAGTGAGATGGAGTGTCAGCACTTAGACAAGCAGGAAAAGCCCTTGAAGGCCACTTGTGGATGGGCACTTCTTAGTGAAAGACAATCCCCCAGAACCCAAATGCAGCAAAGGCTGGTATACATGGCTGGTCCTGGAGCCTGACTTTCTGTTGAACCAAGTGGGTGACTTACATGCTTATCAAGTAAACACAACTGATGAATTGGATGGACAGTTAGACGGGTGAACAGAAGGACGGATGAATATACGATGGTGGATGTTTACCAACGGCAGAGGACAGGGTGAGAGGCTTTGAAATGGACAGACCTTGGCTTTAAGCCCGGGTTTGGCCATGTCTTCCAGTGTGAGTGAGCATGCTGTCTCTGCTTCTGATTGGCCTCTGGGGATGTGAGGGGCAGGGGTGCATTTTTCATGATAAAATAATGCAAGGCATGTGCTGCACTCAAAGAATGGCACACAGAAAGTGCTCAAAAAAGTGAGAGTTGTGGGCTGGTGCAATAGTACAACAGGTAGGACACTTGTCTTGCATGAGCTGACCCGGGTTCAATCCCTGGCATCCCATATAGTACCCTGGGTCCCGCCAGGAGTGATCTCTGAGTGCAGAGCCAGGAGTAACCTCTGCCAGGTGTGGCCCCCACACAAAACAAAAGTGAGTGTTGTCCCCATCCTTATTGTTCAGAAAGGGAGAGGGCAACATAGCTGATGAAGCCCAATGTTGGAGTCTTGCTGTCACCTTCTACTTCTTAGACACGGAACCCAAAATTCCCTTGGGAACCTTAAACTTCCCTTGGGAATCCTAAACTTCCCTTGGGAAGCCACGAGGTCTGGGTAGCTTAGGCAGTCAACCAGTCAACTTATTTTATTCCCTCTGGCTACTGTGATGGGATCAAAGATGAGATTTGAGCTGGGAAAATGAGAGTGAACCTCTGAATGAATATATTCTGGTTCTCAGGCTCCCCCTTCTCTGGTCAGGAAGTGACCGTTAGTCCAGAAGATGCTGGCAGCTCCCATGCAAGCACGGATCTAATGATAAAGTTGACAGCAGATAAGGCAAAGTCAAAGGACAGGGAAACAGCACTGAGCTCTTGGATTCAATCCCATCTTAAGCTGGTGATACCTAGACTTTTCAGTTAAGACATTTATGTTTTTTTTTTTTAAGGGGGAGTATGTGTTTTTCTTTTCTTTTTTATTCATTTATTTTTTTTTTGACGCACCTGGTGATGGTCAGGGCTTATTCCTGGCTCTGTGCTCAGGGATCACTCCTGGTGGTGCTCAGGGGACCATATGGGGTACAGAGATCGAAACAGGTCTGCTGTAGGCAAGGCAAGAGCCCTATCCACTGGACTATTTCTCCACCCTCTAATTCAGAATTTCTTAGCCCTACAGTCAAAAGCAACCTCATTAATGAAGCATGGAATAAAGTATTAGAACACTTGATGGAATGTGTAGAGGATAAAGCACCACACACCATGTGATCAAGTCGAAAAAAAATAGATCAATTTTCGGATCTATTTTTTGGATATTTTTTCAATTTTTTTTTTTTTTTTTGCTTTTTGGGTGACACCCTGCGATGCTCAGGGGTTACTCCTGGCTCATGCACTCAGGAATTACTCCTGGCGGTGCTCGGGGACCATATGGGATGCTGGGAATCGAACCTGGGTTGGCCATGTTGGCCGCGTGCAAGGCAAACGCCCTACCCTCTGTGCTATCGCTCCAGTCCCTATTTTTTCAATTTTTAAAAAATTGGATCAAATAGGGCTGGAGTGATAGCACAGCAGGTAGGGTGTTTGCCTTGCACGCGGCTGACCAGGCCAACCTGGGTTCAATTCCTCCGCTCCTCTCGGAGAGCCCGGCAAGATACTGAGAATATCTCACCCGCATGGCAAAGCCTGGCAAGCTACCGTGATGTACTCAATATGCCAAACACAGTAACAAGTGTCACAATGGAGACATTACTGGGCCCGCTCGAGCAAATCGATTAACAACAGGAGGACAGTGACAGCGACAGTGGATCAAATAGAAAAAAAGTCCTGGACATCAGAAGTTAGATCTATCATTGCCCACTTGACAGATTAAGAAATCAAGGCAAGAGGACTAAGCATCAAGTAAATTGTCTAAGATTACACAGGTCAAATAACTACGTGTGGACCTTGTACAAGAAAACAAATCAACTTTGGACTCTGAGCCTTTTCCACAAAACACAAGTCACTGTAGGTGGAGAAACGTACCCCAGCCGAGGGCAACGAATCCCTGCAGGTACTTCCTTTCTGAGAAGAAGGAGATGCTGAGCAGTGTGTGGAGGTAGAGGCCTTCCACTAGCAGCCAGGCGTAGTTGGCCAAGATGCAGTACTGGAAGAACACCATCACCAGCTTACAGCCCACCTGCACAGAGAGAGCTGGTGAGTTCCTAGGTGCGCAAGGGTGAACCCCCCAACCCCCACAACAAAAAGTGACTGAGTGTAAATGGGGTGAGGGCAATACATGCATGTTGAAAGTTGACTATGGACCAAACATGATGGCTGCTTGCTAACTGTATTGCAAACCTTAACACCCCAAAGGACAGAGAGAGTAAGAGGGATTGTGCCTGGCACAGAGACAGGAGGTGGGAAGGGGTGAGGGCCCAGATCTTGGAGCGAGTCCTGCAAGTCCCTACTAGTACAGAACTAGCCCCAAAGATTCTCTCAGGTCCCCCTGAATCTCTCTCTAGAGCACAGAAGTCCACACACTCGCAGGCTGTCAGGATGGTGAATGGGCCACTGAAGAATTAGAAATTGCATCCAAATCCGGGAAGTGGCGGCCCATTGTAAAAATGATGCCAGAGATTTCCTAACACTCTCAGTTTTCACCAGAGGAAATAGACCTGGAGAGGGGAAGTGAATTCTGAGCAGAAGGCTAATCAGAGTCTTGCCAACCTCAGCTTCCCAAGACAGCTGAAGAAGGAAACTGCCAACTGCGTTGGGAGGCAACATGGTCCCTGGCTCCAAATGGCTCCTGCAGACACACTCGCTTTTGGGCTGGAGATTTCTGAACACCTGATAAGGACCCCATACAGGCCTGTCTTATGTAGGGGTCCCTGGAGGTTATATCCTGTCATGACGGGGTCAGGGCCTGAATTAAGTCTTCAGCCTCCCATCGCACACTCTTTTTTTTTCATCCTGGAAATCTCTCTAGGACATGTGGTCCTCCTTGATGAAACTCGCAGTCTGAATTAGGACACATACACGCACGCGTGCGCGCATGCGCGCGCGCACACACACACACACACACACACACACACACACAGCATAAACTTAATAGCACTGCTAATACAAACTTAACCAATCTGTGAAAAATGACAGATAGAAATGGTGGGAAGTGGGAGTTGACTGAATTGATCTCAATTTTCCATTCTCTTTGCTAGCCTTTTCTTTGGAGCCCATGAGAGTAAATCTCCAGTCTCCCAGCTTCCTTTGTGCTCATGCGTGGTCACATGATAATATTCTAGCCAGTGAGATGCAATTGGGGGCTAGAGGAGAGGTTGAAGAGGGATGTATGTTTCTTTCCCAGATCTTAAGGCAAATTGTGTGTGTGGCGGGTAGGGGGTGAGCTTGATCTCGACTTTATTCCTTCTTTTCTGGAACAGGACATGAAGTCTAGGGTTGCAGTAGCCATAATGCCAGAGCAGAAAGAGGGACAATGACTGTCCCTTCATGGCAACACGGGGCTACTGTATGTGCTGTTTGGATTGCTCATCCATGAACGGATTATGTGGGAAACATCCCCATCTGTTTAAGTCACTGCTGGAGAGTTTCTTGGTTAGGTATGACCAACAAGATTCCCAACTGATACACAGAGTAACTCTGCACTGAATTAGCATTCATCTGAGCATTCAGGAGGAAGTGGGTTCCAGTTAACAAAACATGATTGTTTTATGCAGACACACTGACATATGCTCACCCTTTTCTGTCTACAACCAACCCCAGCCCTCTCTTAATTTGGCCATCTGTCTACAGCGGAGACTTGGCAGGAGTAGGGGAACGAGGGGCTTTGCAATGCATCTAATTCCTAGGGGAGCTGATCCGCTCCTGGACTCGGAAAGCTGCCCCACTCCCTCCTCCCTGAGCTTCTATACAAACTGTTCTAATACATGACCCAATTCACATGTGGGGACACAGGATACTCACTCATGGTTCCGCCCTAGCTGCGCCCCCTTAGTCCTGGGTACTAAGCATGCCTTAGTAACGGTTTGCAGGAAGGACAATGGGGCTACCACCTGCCCCCAAGAAGGCTGGCCTGTTACCCTGTGAACATCGCAGCGGGTGTCATCATTGGAGAACAGCACGGCGTCCTTGATGAAGTTGGACAGGGCACGCAGGATGAAGGATACAAACAGGTGCATGTGGATGTAGTTGCGGGTGCAATGGAGCCTCCTGAAGGGAGAGAACAGGGGCCAAAGCAGGGAGGGGCTGGCACGTGGCCAGGCCCATTGCTCTCCCAGTGCCTTGGGTGAACCTGTCTTTTTTTGGGGTGGGGAGTGGGGAGGAGGAGTGTGCAACCAATGGTGCTCAGGGCTCACTCCTGGGTCTGTGATCAGGGTCACTCCTGATGGGCTCAGGGGGCCATATGGGGTGCCAGGAATTGAACCCTGGTGAGCTGCAATGCAGGGCAAGTGCCCTGCCCACTGTACTGTCTCTTTGGCCCTAGAATAATGGCTCTTCGCCGATGACACAGCTCTCTGAATCTCTGTCAGCAGACCCAGGCCCCCAGATGCACAGTCTACTTTAACTCACCCTGCAATTAAAAAAGAAAAGTTGGGGTCACAGGGACCAAGGTTTTATTCCATCGTGACTTCCCATTTTCTCCAGTGCCTGGGATTGCTTAGAAGCGGGCAGGAGGCAGGCAGCCAAATTGCGAGTTGGAGAGCAACACGGACTCTAGACTGGCAGGAGAAACTCGACTCACGCTCAGCCACATACTAGCTCGATGACCCTTCCCCATCCCAAAGTTGGGTTTGTGTCTCTGGCATAGAAGACTGAAGTCTGTTACTTGCTTTCCTTCTTCTGCTACCAGAAGCAGGCTTCCTAGCTCGAAAATAAGGATTATGACACATGTTTGGCAGATCTGACCAATCAGCATGCTCGGTTCGTGGAAGCAGAGAGTTGCTGAGTTGTCAAGGGACCCCCGCCAGCCCTATGAGAACTTTCCCCAGGATTTTCACTGCAACAAATTGGAAACTCTCCTTACTCTGATACCACTGCACCAAGGGACTGTACCCCAGCCGGTCCCAGTGGTGGCTGTCTCTGGACTCCTGCCAAAAGCCTGACTTCAGAAGAGGCTAAGCAGAGTGGAGAGATGGAGGGTGAGAGGCAGTGGAGAAAACTGCTTCCTTGAGCCCTTAGGACCATCTACACCTAAAGCTTGAGCCTCTGAACTTATCCATTACACGGGGCAGTTCACCTTTGTTGAATTTCTGTTTCTTGCAATCAAGAGACTGGGTAACACATCTGTAAAATGGGGGTAATGATAGCTCATACCATTGTGTGAAAGTTAACAAACACATATGTCAAGCAATAGGTACAAGAGATTCTATGTAATGCTCATAAAACGTAGACTAAAAGAACAAACAAGGTCGTGGGCACTTCCATGTTTTGCCACAAGTAAGCGTTAGATCGAGAGGCAACGCTCAAACCTTCCTTGCTGTGTACCAAGCGGCGTGACGAGGCCCAGAGTCTGGGCAGCAGGGGAGATGGAAGGACGGCAGCGTGTTCTCACCGGAAAGCACAGAGGATGCTGAGAGCAATCAGGAGCATCACCAGGGAGGAGCTGTAGCCCACAGTGTACATGACCTTCAGCTTCAGCAGGTACTTGTGCTGCGGAGAGAGAGAAAGGCATGGAGCAGCCCCACCTGCCCTGGGCTCTTTCGGTTCTTTTCTGCTTCAAGCTTAGCATCTTGACTTGGAAAAGCTCTTAAGGATCATGTGATGCTAAGTCAAACATCCATCCCCTTTCTTGTCTCTCCTGGAACCAGGAGCTCACTGTCTCTCAGGAAGTCATTCGACATACAGCAGCACAAAATATTGTATCTTTGCTTTCTCACATGTAACAAAAATCTATTACCTCCTAATTTCCATTGACTGGTTCTTTTTACTGCTTCGAAGGTCACGTAAATTGAATTTGTCAGTAAGGCCTATTGTTATTACTGTAATTATTTAGTTTTTAGATGTCCTCAGTGATTACTCCTAGCTCTATGCTCAGGCATCACTCCTGGCAGGCCCAAGGGACCATACAGCATACCAGGGATTGATCCTGGGTCAGCTTCATGCATGGCAAATGACTGACCCACTGTATATCGCTCCAGCACCCCCGTTGTCATTTTTAACTTATTACTAGATTTGTAGAACTCAGAAAGATTGTAGAGAAGTCTGTCAATTTACACAGGTCTTTGTCTCTCCCTCCCTGAACAGGTCTTCTCAGCACTAACTTGTCCTTAACTTTAATCCTCCATATTGTGCAATTTACATGCTCCAGTTCATCAAAGTGCATCTTTTTTTTTTGTTTTGTTTTTTTTGTGTCATACCCAGCTGTGCTCAAGGATTACTCTTGGCTCAGTGCTTAGAGGTCACACCTGGTGGGGCTTGGGAAACAGTGGGGTACTGGGGATTGAACCCAGCTCAGCCACATGCAAAGCAAGGACCCTACAAGACTATACTATTGCTCAGTCCCCAGGTCAAAGTCCTTCCCAAGTAAGATACCCAGAAGCCTTACTGGAAAGCTCTGGATGTTTTCTCTGAGCAGGAATACAGGGAGCTGAACCTTCATGTTCCCTAATCTAGGCATTGCACTCCTGTCTGTGGGGCTGAGTGGGTAGGAATTTGGTTAGCGATCATTTCATAAGACAGTCTCATCTAGGGCACCAAAAACTCTCAGTGAACTGGAATAACTAGCAAAACATTACTGTGTGATATAGATATATAAGTGCGAAGACCTACAGTTCTTAGGTTCCCGAAATAAACTGTACAACATTCTTAAAAATAATGAAGGGGGGGCTAGAGCGACAGTACAGCCAGCAGGGCGTTTGCCTTGCACACGACCAACCTGGGTTCGATCCCCAGCATCCCATATGGTTTCCCACGCACTGCCAGGAGTAATTCCTGAGTTCAAAGCCAGGAGTAACCTCTATGCATCGCCAGGCATGACCCAAAAGCCAAAAAATAAATAAATAAATAAAATTTAAAAGTAATCAAGGGAATGACAAGCATAATGCTATACCTTAGCTTTATCAACCAGATGAACAAATCTTTAAAAGTAGGGAACTTATAATGGAAATGAAACTGATTCAATCTTTCTGGAAAGTAGTATGGATCAAGAATCTTTAAAAAATGCACCTTTTTGTTGTTGTTGGTGGTGGTCTTTCCTTCTACCTCTATGATTTTTTTCTATTTTAGGGGCAACACCTGGCAATCCTTAGGGCTGATCTCTGCCTCTGTGCTTAAGGATCACTCTGATTGTAGGGGGTGCTCCAGGGACCATAAGTGGGGGCAGGGTATCAAATATGGGGTCAACTGTGTACAAGGCAAGTATCTTATTCTTCAGCTCATTTAGAAATTCATATCAAGAAATAAGCATAAATACAAAAGCATATTTACTCATGAAGGTGTTGGTCAGAGAATTCTGTGATGAAAAACACCCAAATAAATGTCCCGCAAAGGACAAGGAAGGGCTGGAGCTTAAAGATGCGGGTCACTTTCCCCACCTTCACTCCTCACCCCTTCATCACCCACCCTCCCACGAGGGTCAGTGGGCCGAGACTGTGGCATGAAAAGCCAGGGAGGAGGCAGCTGCCAAAGAAAGCAGGGCTGTTCTCAGTTACAGGAAACCAGTGCCCCAAGCAGCAGGCCGCCCTGGAATGTGGGGTGCTTTGGCCAAGTTTGGGCATGTGATTTCAAGAGACACATTCATAAACTGGAATATTTCCGGAGGAGCAAGATTGTGTCATCTGAAGAGCACACGAAAACAGCGGGTTTACTTCTGGGAATATATCTTGAGGATGCAAAAAAGCACAGTAAAAATGACATCTGTACCTATGTGTTCATTGCAGCACTGTACACAATAGCCAAATTCTGGAAACAACTCAATGCCCTAGAACAGATGACTGGTTAAAGAAACTTTGGTACATCTACACAATGGAATATTATGCAGTGGTTAGGAGAGATGAAGTCATGAAATTTGCTTATAAATGGATAGACCTGGAGAGTATCATACTAAGTGAAATGAGTCAGAGGGACAGACATAGAAGGACTGCACTCATTTGTGGAGTATAAAACAACATAACATGAGGCTGACAGCTAAGGATAGCAGATACACGGGACAGGAAGATTGCTCCATAGCCGGACGCCTGCCTCATGAGTGGAGGGGAGAAGGTAGCTGGAATAGAGAAGCAATCACTAAGAAAATGATGGCCTGAGAACCGGTCGGGATGGGAGATGCGTGCTGAAAGTAGATAAGGGACCAAACATGATAAGGGACCAAACATCAGGGTCTGTATTGCAAACCATAATGGGGAGAGAGAGAGAGAGGGAGAGAGAGAGAGAGAGAGAGAGAGAGAGAGAGAGAGAGAGAGAGAGAGAGAGAGAGAGAGAGAATATTGTCTGCTTGGAGGCAGAGGAAGGTGGGAAAGGGGGTTATACCAGGGATATTGGTGGTGGGGAATGTGCACTGGTGGAGGGATGGGTTTTGATCATTGTGTGACTGTAACCCAACTTGTAACTATATCATGGTGATTCAATAAAATTTAAAAAAAAAAGAAAACAGCGGGTTCCTCTATAAGCAGAGGGCTACAAGCAAACAAGCAAGTTTCAAGAAGAAAAGCATCGGCATTAGGCTGGGGAAGGATCCAAACCACCAGAGTACCTGGTAGCATGCGTAGGGCCCCAAGTGTGATCCCTGGCATCTCATGGTCTCCCTCGCACTGCTAAGGGTAGCCCTGATGACTCCCAGCACGATGGGGAGGCTCCTCATAAACATGAATCCCCCCCCCCCCCCAAATTTTCTGCATTTCTAAATGCAGAAACTGCATTTAGATGGAGCTGGATTGATAGTACAGCAGGCAGGGTGCTTGCCTTGCACACAGAAAACACAAGTTTGATCCCCAGAATCTCATATGGCCCCTTTAATCTGCCAGGACTGATTCCTGAGCCAGGAGTGAGCTTTGAGCACTGCTGGGTGTGGTCCAAAAGGCCAAAAAGAAAAAAGTATTGGAAGTATTGAGACAGAGAAGGATGGGACCGAATGTATGAGCCAGAGGGGGAAAAGTGGATTTGATTCACTGACCCAAAATGTACTGGAGCCAGGAGGTCACCTGCACCCTGGTGCCAGGGTGAGTGCCAGGTGGCTGAGCTGCTTCCAACGGTTATGAGGAAAAACCCAGAAGCCAGGCTGCCTCTCGAGGAAGAAAAGGGGGAATGTCAAAAGAGCAATCAGCTTCCGGGTTCTGGCTATTGTGAACAGTGCTGCAATGAACACACAAGTGCAGATGTCATTTCTGCTGCGTGTTTTTGCAGCCTGGGGGTATATTCCCAGAAGTGGTATTGCTGGGTCATATGGAAGTTCCATTTCTAGGTTTTTTGAGGAATGCTCATATTGTTTTTCCAAAAAGGGCTAGACTAGTAAGCATTTCCACCAACAATGAGGAAGAGTCCATTTTTCCTTGCATCGGGTGGGGGCAGGAGGAATATGGAGGACATTGGTAGTGGGAAAAGTACACTGGGGGGAGGATGGGTGTTAGAACATTGTGTGACTAAAACCGATTATGAAAGCTTTGTGTGAATATCTCATGGTGATTCAATAAAAAAATAAATTAAAAAAATGAGGGGCTGGAGCAAAGCACAGCAGACAGGGCATTTGCCTTGCAGGCGGCCGACCCGGGTTCGATTACCATTATCCCATATGGTCCCCTGAGCATCGCCAGGAGTGATTCCTGAGTGCAGAGCCAGGAGTAACCCCTGTGCATCACCGGGTGTGAACCAAAAACCAAAAATAAATAAATAAAATGAAAAACAACTTCAGAATCAAATTGGAGTCTTAATTATAAAATAGTAATAATAATGATGATGATGATAGCACTGCGCTGTAAGCACTGTAGCCCCATTGTCCATCAATTTGCTTGAGCGGACACCAGTAACGTCTCTATTGTGAGACTTGTTGTTACTGTTTTTGGCATATCGAATACGCCACGGGGAGCTTGCCAGGCTCTGCTGTGCGGGCGGGATACTCTCAGAAGCGTGCTGGGCTCTCCGAGAGGGATGGAGGAATCGAACCCTTGTACGGGTCGGCCGCATGCAAGGCAACCACCCTACCCGCTGTGCTATCGGTCCAGCCCTAATAATAATAATAATAATAATAAAAGAGCAATCAGCTACCTGAGTGCAATCAGTATTCTGGGGTTTGGACACACCCCAAAGCTGAGGGATGTATCTAAACCGGAAGACCCACACACCAACTAGGATCTTGCTACAGGTGGTGGAGTCCAGAGCTGGGGGTGTGCATCTCCCCTGGGAACCCCCATCTTGCAACCCTCCATGTAGGGGCAGGTGTAGAGGGGCTTTGGCAGCAAGGGAGATGGCAGAGGGCCAGCCTGGCATGTATCACTTTGCTGTCCTATCACTCAGCTGCAGGAACCCTCAGGACCCTGGCCAGTATGCCAGGGTCTTGCCTGCACCCATTCCTGTGTCTTTAGGTCTGTAACTGAGTCCTCTTGCCAAGAGGCTTGAAGTCTTAATGCTCCAGCCCCCCAACCACCCAGCCACAACAGAGCCCCATGTCCCAGAGGAAATGGCTTCCAGAAACTTCATTGCTGTCTTACCTGGATTCAGCTACCTTGTTCTGTTGTGTCTCCTGATGACACCACCTTCTCCGTCTAGATCAGAGGTCAGCGGATTTTTCCCATAAAGGGACAGAGTAAATATTTTAGACTCTGGGGGCCACACACAGTCTCTTCTATAACTTGTAGCACCCAGCACTGGCGCTAGCTATGGCTGTGATTCAAGAAAGAGATAATTGCTAACGAAGGAAGTGATCAGGTTGGCCACAAGTGGTCAAGCTTTGTTCTAGGTAACTGTTCGAAACTCTACTTTGTGGTAAAGTGGCAATTTTGCCTGTTTTTTTTTCTGTCGGTCAGACTCCACTGTTGGCTTTCGTCAATAATGGAGAGGGGTGTGCTAAGGAAGGAAGCTGAAGAAAGAAGACAGAAGAAGGAGGAGGACGAGGAAAGGGGAGGAGGAGAGAGAAGTAGGAAGAAGGAAGAGGAGGAAGCAATGGACCACAGCCGATGGTACTCCTGGCTCAGCACTTAGAAATTACTCCTGACTACTCCTGGCAGTATTCGGGGACCATATGGGATGCTGGGGACTGAACCCCAGTTGGCCAAGTGACAGGTAAGAGCCCTACCTGCTGTACTATTGCCCTAGCCCTTAAATCTTAAAATTTAAGACAAAGTGTGTAGTCTGTGGACCTATGATCTGGAGACTCTTTCCATCTTTTTTTTCTTCTTTTTTTTGCTTATGGGTTGTCCTTGGCTCCCTGGTGATGGTGCTGGGAGGACCATATGGTATGCCTGGAATTGAAGCCGGGCTGGCTGTGTGCAAGGCAAGTGCCTTACTCACTGTACTGTCTCTCCGGCCCTGATACTCTTCCATCCTTAAAATTAAAAACAACAAACGTTTCTTGTTTGTTTTTGTTTAACGTGAGTTGAATTCAGGGCAGGTTTCCTACCCATGATTTTTTTCTGGCCATTAAGTTTCTGAAGTAAGTGTAGAATTTTGCTTTCCTCTTTGGGGAATCTGAGCTCCTTGCGTGGGGATTTCGGTCTGCTGTCCAGGGTCCATTCATTCCTGGCCGATTAGGCTAAGCCAACAGTTGCCACATGGACCTCTGCCACACCAGACTCAGGAAAAAAAAATAATTCTATAGGACCCAGAACAATTCTACAGTGTAAAGGGTCCTTAGGTCAAAAAGTTTGAGAACTGCTGGCCCGAGGGAGTCATGTGGGAGAGGGGTGGGGACAGGTGGCAGCCACTTTGGCCAATGAGAGATGAAACCAGGTTTGCTAAGGGCCAGAGAGATAGTATATAGGGCAGAGCACTTGCCTCACGTACAGATGATCAGGCTTGATCTCGGAACCACACGTGGCCCCCGAGTCCGACCAGGTATAAGCCCTAAGCACTACCATATGTGGGCCCCCCCAAACAAAAATAAACAAAAAAGCAGGTTTACTGGGGGGTCTGGAGCAATAGCATAGAGGTAGGGCGTTTGCATTGCGCGCGGCCGACCCGGCCGAGAGAGTTCGATTCCTTCGCCCCTCTTGGAGAGCCTGGCAAGCTACCCAGAACATCTCGCCTGCACGGCAAAGCCTGGCAAGCTACCGTGACGTATTCAACATGCCAAACACAGTAACAACAAGTCTCACAATGGAGATGTTACTGGGCCTGCTCAAGCAAATCAATGAACAATGGGAGGACAGTGCTACTGGGGCACTGGACAGCGATGTCCGTGGGATTCTAGGAGGGAGTGTTAGGAGGAGAGCTCACCCCTCCTTCTGGCCACAACTGCCGTCGCAAAGGCCAATGCTGCCATCTGGTCTATGGAGGTGTCTTGTCTGTGCACCTCACACATAGTCTCTGCACCACAACCCCATTACGTGTGCCATGCTTATGAAGCCAGATGAAAATACTTGTTGCTTGTAGCCTACAGTGTCCTCTTTTTTAAAAAAATTGAATCACCATGACATAGATGTGTTTCAGTCACACAGTGTTCCAACATCCATCCCTCCATCAGTGTAATTTCCCAGCACCAGTGTCCCCAGTTTCTCTCCACTCCTTCAAGCCACCCCCTACCCCAGCCTGCTTCTATGGCAGGCACCTCCCCACCCCCTTCCCTCTCTCTCTCTCTCTCTCTCTCTCTCTCTCTCTCTCTCATGTTATGGTTTGCAATACAGATGCTGAACAATGATCACATCTCCCTTTACTGCTTTCATCACTCAGTTCTTGTCCAGAGCGATCATTTCCAACTAGTATTGTTATAGCGGACTCTCCTCTATCTCAACTACCCTCCATCCCCCATGCCCTTGTGGTAATTCCCAAGCACTGATCAGTCCTCCTGGCCCCTGTTTTCCCTTGGATATTAGTTTCCCTTGGTCTTGGATATTAGTTTCATGCAGTTTTTTTTTTTTTTGCTTTTTTTGGGTCACACCCAGCGATGCACAAGAGTTACTCCTGGTTCATGCACTCAGGAATCACTCCTGGTGATGCTCAGGGGACTATATGGGATGCTGGGAATCAAACCTGGGTCGGCCGCATGCAAGGCAAATGCCCTACCCGCTGTGCTATTGCTCCAGCCCCTTAATACAGTTTTTTTTCCATATATCCCACAAATAAATGCAGTCATTCTATATCTGTTTCTCTCCTTCTGACTCATTTCACTCAGCATGCTACTCTCCAAGTCCATCTATTTATAGGCAAATTTCATGACCTCGTTTGTCCTAACAGCTGTGTAATACTCCATTGTGTAGATGTACCATAGTTTCTTTATCCATTTGTCTGTCCTCTTTATTTTTGGCGATGCAAAGGAGGAAAACAAACACCTCCACAGAGCTCCACAACAGAGCCACAGCTGACGTCACCACGCTCCTAAAGCATCCTTTGATCCTTCTCCTGACTCCGCATCCCGAAAAGCTTCCCTCTTCACTGGATGGATTGTACAAACGCGATTTCACACACCAGTCTCCTGCCTTCATGGAAGTCAGTGATAGAGAGGGGTCTGCAGGCTGGAGCCCACCGCCACACCCTTCAAGGCCAAGGGTACCCATGGGGCCGGGTCTTGCTGGGATTCCTTACTGAAAGCACCCTCCTAAGACCAGAGCAGAACAGCTTGTGTTTTCCACAGCTGGCTGTCAAGTCCTGGAAGGCATCACCCGCTCCCCGTCCCCACCTCACAATCTCCTTTCTATGGAGAAGTGAGCAAGCCTCCTTGGATGCCCGGGCTGTGCAGCAGAGTGGTACCGGTCACCCTCTGCAGGCTGGGCCTTGTGGTCCACACGCGGAGCGAGGCTTACCCGCTTCTCATTGCTGGACGAGCTGTTCACGCTGATCCCACAGGCCAGGTCAGGCCTGGGGAAAGTTTCTGACCAGCCGTCTGGAGTGCAGTTTCGGAAGATGGAACCTGTAGGTACCCAACATCCTGGAGGTGAGTGGTGGGTCTCTCGGGTACCCTCAGCCATGCCTTAGGGGCAGCCTAGAACTTCCTGTCTGTCTGCCCCCACCTTTTTCCGAACCACACACAGTGTCCAACTGGCCTCGCTGATTCTAGAAGACAGAAAGAACCAAGGAAAGTGGTGGGAGAGGCTGTGGAGAGGACAGAGGAGCCTAGAAACACCAATCATGGGATGCTCGTGCACGTCCGTATGTGTTTGCATGTGTCTGTGTGTCTATTTGTGTGTCTGGGGGTATGTGTTTAGGCGCTTTTGTGTATGTGTTCTTGTGAGTATCACGATCACGGTCCTCCCGATGTTCATTGATTTGCTCGAGCGGGCCCAGTAACGTCTCCATCATATGAGACTTGTTGTTACTGTGTTTGGCATATCGAATACATCACGGGGAGCTTGCCAGGCTCTGCCGTGCGGCGAGATACTCTCGGGAGCTTGCCGGGCTCTCTGAGAGGGGCGGAGGAATCGAACTCGGGTTGGCCATGTTGGCCGCTTGTAAGGCAAACGCCCTACCGCTGTGCTATCGCTCCCATATATGTGTACATATGTGCATGTCTGTGTGTACTTGGCTATATTTGTGTGTCTGTGCATGTGTGTGTATGTATGTGTATGTGCGTGTATTTGTGTGGTTGGAGGGTGTGTTGGGTGCATCTGTGTATGTGTTTTCTGAGCATTTGTGAGGACATCTGTATATGTGTGTGTTTATATATGTGTGTATATGTGTGTATATATATGTCTCTGTGTATTTGTGTCTGTGTGTGCACATGTGAGGCAGGAACAGAAAGACCCCCTGGGCCGGGCACAAATACCCAACCCTCAGCCTCCCAGCACTGATTGCCTCCTTCACGGGGCCCCTCTGGCCTCACGGACTCACCCACATCCCACCCCCCACGCTTCACTGCAGGGTAGCCAGGGATAAAGGGAGATAACTGACAGGTGTCGTAGTTCCTGGACCTCCTTGCAACCAGACCCCTCCAGTGTCCGCTCCTGGCCAGCCCACCCTGCCAGGGACCTCCGCGTCACTGCTGCCCACTGCACCCGGGGATGGTACCTCCCAGGCTCCCAGGCCCCAGGAGGGCAGATGGAGCCTGCCAGGACTCGGGCTCAAGGTCACTCAGCATTCTCAGAGAGCGGGATGCTTCAGAAATGCAGTAGCAGTTTGGGGAGAGTCACCCTAAAGCTCTCACCGGTCCTCAGACAGCAGCGGGGATTTGCTTCTGGACCACGCCTGGTGAGATCAGGACTCACTGCACGGGCCCTGACCCATGTTCCCTCCCGGGCAGGTTGTTCAGGGCCTGGCTCTGGGGATGAGAAGGGGCCCCACCTCCCCCACCCGGCCTGGGGGGCGCGGTGGAGATGCGCCTGCTCGCCACCGGGGGCGCCAGTGTCCCAGACCCGCTGCAGGAGGAGCTCCGTGCCCAAGTGCAGGCGCGCCAGCCCTTCGGCTCCACAGCGACATCGTGTGGCGACAAGAGGAAATGACAGCGGGAGAAGCAGCGCCCGGATCACTTGCAGAAAGGAAACAGGGCCCCAGGGTCACCCCTAGTGGGTCTTGGGCAACCCCAGGAGAGCGGGTGGGGCTCCAGGAGGAGGCGTTGGTCTTTCAGTTAGGGGTGTGCCCAGGGGCTGAAGAAATTGTTAGGGGAGGGACGTGGTCATGGGCATGGCTCTGTCTAGTCCCTCTGCAGAAGGGCAGAGGTTCTGGCTCAAGGAAGGCTGCCGGGCGGGCTGGGAGAGGAGAACTTCAGGGTCTTGGCCTCCCTTTCCTTCACTGGCTCTACAAGGGGGCGGTGGGGAGGGAGATCGGGGATAAATAGTCTGGGTTTTGGTTCATTCTTGTGAAAGGATCCCCAGGAAGCATTTCCAGCTGCTTATACATGAAGAAGAGGGGCAGTTGGACCAGACTGTAGCCTGCTTAGGGTAGGAGCCAAAGGATAATCAGAAAACTCCTTTGCCTGCATCCAAAGGGACCCCCACACGCGGCCACAGATGGACCTAGACTACTACCCAGGGGACCAAGCACAGGTTCTGAAGCCAGAGGATTCTGGGATGGAGGCCTGAGCCCTTCCCCACGGGTGGTGATCGGTGGCAGGTGGCTCACCCCCAGGCCACTGTTGATGTGAGTTTATAGAACCCCGTCGGGGAGCCTGTTTTGGTGATTTTGCTTCTGGACCACACCTGGTGCTATTCAGGGTGACGCCTGGTTCTGAGCTCAGGGATCACTCTTGGCAGGGCTCAGGGGACCAGATGGGATGCTGGGCATTGAGCGCGGGTGGGCCACATGCAAGGTACAGCCCTACCCTCTGTACTATGGCTCCAGCCTCGTTTTGTGGTTTGCAGGGATTTTGTGATGGCCATGTGTATCCGTGTCTATAAAACCATGGGCATCTAATAGAGCTTACATCAGTGCTAATTCCCCTTCTAAGACCACCTCCTCACTTTCTTGTCTGAAATTAAGGGATTCCTTGTAAACTGGAGCTTTCCTAGGGCAGGAGACCCCACTCCTACCCCCAGGAGACCAAGGACTTCCGGGGAGGGAGCAATGGATCTGCAGGGCCTGGCTGAGCAGACAGAGGGAGTCAGGTTCTCAAAGGCAGGAGGTGCCAGAGTGGTACCCAGGCTCAGGGGCTGGAGTAGGAGACCTGGTTGCTAAGGGGACAAGAACATGAGAGGAAGGAGGGGTGTGGAACAAAGAAACAAGCCCATGTTTACGATCACTTCCCTAATTCACTGCCACTTATCCTCACTGGGAACCGAGAACAGAGCCTGACCCAATCCCCAAGGCCAGACCTTCTAATCCTCTACAAGGACCTCCTCGCCTCCATCGTCCGTGCTCCACCTGGCCCCAAAGAATTGTCCCTGGTCTCATGCTTCCAGCCCAGGCCCCATGCAGGGAGCACCCACAGCCTCTGGGCCAGGACGCAAATTGGGCAGGTGGGGAGGGGGGATTTACCGTTTCTGCTTCTGTCTGTGAGCAGCCGGAGGAACCGCGGACACTCCACTTCCACCGTCTGTCCTGCCACAGCTGACGGCCAGCAGCTCATCTTGTCCCACAGCCCCTTGCAGCCTGGAAGGAGGAGTAACAACATCATTAGACCAGTGTGGCATGTGACCCACAACCCTGCCCTTGTTCCCCCCACAAATACCAGCCCTGACACCCTTCCTGCCAGAGTACCCCGAAAGGTGCTACTGGACCCAAGAACAGGCCACCCCAGGCAGTGCCCCTGGCAGGCTGTGGTCAAGTTGAAGACAACTGAGAAACATCAAGTCCCAGAATGATGCCTGGGAAATGATCCATCATCCTAAAGATTAAGACATAAATTGGGCCGGAGAGAAAGAACTGTGGGGAGGGTGCTGGCCTTGTATGTAGCTGACCTGGGTCCAATCCCTGACACCACATAAAGTCCCCCGAGCCCTGCCAGGGCCCTGCGTGCAGAGCCAGGAAGAAGCCCTGAGCACAGCCGGATGTGGCCCAAAAAACTAAAAACAAACAAAAATTAAGACATAAATTTCTCCCTGTTTGGAGCTGAGAGACGGCCTGTCTCCCAAGGTCCATTTTTATGTGGAAATAAATCCTGCAAATTTTCTTTTTTAGTTTTCTTTCCACTGTGTTGGGGATGAACTCAGAGCTTCACACATGTGAGGCAGGGAGCCCTATCCCTGAGCCATAGCCCTAGGGCCCATAAAAGTTTTGTTTGTTTTTGGCCCACATTGGGGGGTCTTCAAAGTTTGCTCCTTACTCTGTGCACAGGGATTATTCATTACAGGTCTTGGGGGGCCATATGGGATGCCAGGGATTAAACCAAGGTTGACCAAGTGCTATACTATCTCTTTGACTCCTACCAAATTTTGTGTTTGTTTGTTTTTTGATTTTTGGGCCATGTCTGGCTATGCTCTGGGGTCATGCCTGGCTCTGCCCTCAGGAGTCACTCCTAAGTGCTTCAGGGGACCATAGGAGATGCTGGGGATCAATCCCAGATTGATCATGTGCAAAGCAAGTGCCTCACCCACTGTACTATCTCTCTAACCCCCTTTAACCAAACTGTTCTTTAAATGGAAATTTTTCAGGCTGGTGGAATATCTCAAAGGACGGGAGAGCATTCTTAGTATGCAGGAGGCCCCTTTTGGACCCTGGCACTGTTTGGTCTCCTGAGCACCACTGAAAACAGCCTCAAGTTCAGTGCCAGGAACAGCTCTCAACATTGCTGGGTGTGGTCCTCAAAACCAAAATAAATAATTGCAAAATTATATCATATCTATATCTATATCTATATCATCTATATCTATATCTATATCTATATCTATATCTATATCTATTACAGTCCTCAAGCCAGGTTCGTCTTCCTAGCCCCAGCAGGGTCCTAGTCTTATCGTTACTTACTTTTGGATCATGACAGCATTTGTCCATGATCATGCCATCAACTTATAGTTGAGTATCGTGGCGCTTTGGCCTGGCCCATTTCGATGCCAGGGTAGCTCACAGCTTGCCCTGGGTCCATTCAGTCCCTCGTCGGGACCCTGCTTTAGGGGTGCTAGGAACTAAGGGCAACTGACTCAAGAATGCAGATGCCCAGGAGTGCATATTATTTGGGAGTCAATCAACTCCCAAGTTACAAAGCATAATATTAACTGTCTTCCTGTATCCATACAGAAAGGACATTGCTTTAAGGTAAACTATGCAAAGGACATAACTTACAATACAAGTTCAGTGTCCTTAGAAGGATCTGATCTTACAAGCTAACAGAATCTGATTAGGGAGAAAAGGTGATTAACTGGCTGGGGAGGAGAGCACAGAGAAGAGTTTACAGGTAAACAGAGGAATGGGAGTGACGCGGGAGCACTGTGATGGGTGTAACCCGATAAACCTAAGCTCCCTGTGGCAATGTTCACTGTCACTGTCACTGTCCTCCCATTGTTCATCGATTTGCTCTAGTGGGCCCAGTAACGTCTCCATTGTGAGACTTGTTGTTACTGTGTTTGGCATATCGAATACGCCACGGGGAGCTTGCCAGGCTTTGCCATGTGGGTGAGATACTCTCGGTAGCTTGCCAGGCTCTCCGAGAGAGCAATGCTATTCTACACAAAATACTGGAGCTGGAGCGATAGTACAGCGGGTAGGGCATTTGCCTTGCATGAGGCCAACCCGGCTGACCTGAGTTTGATTCCTCTTGCCCCCCTCAGAGAGCCGGGCAAGCTACCGAGAATATCTCGCCCTCACAGCAAAGCCTGGCAAGCTACCCATGACGTATTGGATATGCCAAACACAGTAACAGCAAGTCTCACAATGTTACTGGGCATGCTCGAGCAAATCGATGAACAACGAGAGGAGAGTGCAGTGCAGTGCTGGGACTTCTCTGGTCCATGTTCTGGGCCTGGCCTTTTAGCTCTAGCTGGGCACCAAGAGGGATCACTTTGTGCTTCACCCCTGACTCACTCCATCCACGACAGTGCCCGAGGCTCTGGCTTTGCTTCACCTTACAAAGGAAACGTGTGTGTGTGTGTGTGTGTGTGTGTGTGTGTGAGAGAGAGAGAGAGAGAGAGAGAGAGACAGAGACAGAGACAGAGACAGAGACAGAGAGACAGAGAGAGACGCGGCTTACTATCACACAGACAGGATATGGAGGGGACCATCAGGTCAGCAGTTTAGGAGCCCCTGTGGATCTGCCCGACTGTCCTGTCTCCAGGGGAACCCTCTTAGCCAGGAGCAGACAGTCCAGGGGAGTGAGAGGGGGCACAGGAGGTGAAGTCGTGCTGGGCTAGAGGCGGAGGTGGAGGAATCAGGGCTCGGTGGGGAGCAGAGCAGGAGAGTGGGGGGCTGAAGGCAGGTGGGGCCTGTTTGCCAGGCAGGAGGCCGCCCTGGAAGTTCAGGGCACTGGAGGGAGGGTCCCCACCAGGAGTCCACCAGAATGGGGCTCTGACCTTGAGCCACGCCCGGGAGAGGCAGGGCAGGCTGTGGTCCTGGGCTAGGGGACAGGGCTGTGTCCCCTCCACCTCACTTCCGCAGGAGAGGAAACACTGATCTGAGACTCTGCATCCCAGGAGGGGGTGGAGGTAGGAAGCAAGAATCTCTTGGAGGTTCCTGATTCTCTACCCGCTTGAACCCCAGAGAGGAGGGGTGTGAAATCCCTCAAGAGAACCTCTCTGGATCTCCCCAGGCAGGGGTACCACCCATGCTGGGCTGGCAGGTGGGCCAGATTCCTGCCGTGGCCATAGCTCGTGGGAACCAAGCAGGGTCTGATGGAGCCCCAGGGCCCTGGGGGATGGGACAAGGCATAAGGAGCGGCTTCGTGACACGGCTGTGCCCCCTCTCCCCTGAGTCTGGAGGATGGTCCGGCTCGTTTCTCCTCTGCAGAACTTGGGGTCCTGGCACCTCCTTTGGAGCACCACTTTGTACACGGTTTCCCCTTCAAGGAAGGTACGTGTTGGACATATGCCCAACCTGGGTTCGATTCCTGGCCTTGTATGGTTCCTTGGCCCTCACTGGGCACAGCCTGGAGGCCTATGGGCAATAACCCTGGGTGTTCGGGTTATTGCCAGCACCCTGGGACCCGAACAGCATCATGTCCTCGTCCCTTGCACTGAACCCAAGGCCCGGTTGGTTGAGAATCACCAGACCTTCTAAGCTCTGCTTGGAAGCACCCCTCACAAAAAAATAACAACCTTTTCCTCTTGATGACCCCTTTTGGGACTCAAGAAACGCAACATGGTCTAGCACTGCCAGAAACACTCGGGTTCACTACACAGCTCACATGAAATTGTGAGGGAATTTGTGATGATGGGGTGTTCAAGACCTTCTACTGGTGTCCGATTTGTTGTGAACCCCACTCTCTCTCCCGCATTCAGGCGTGTGACTGCTTATGTTTGAGAAGCGAGAGTTTGGGACCCAGGATGGAGTTCGATGCACTGAACATAGGCTTTGCCTGCAGAAGGGCCCAATTCCATCTCTGGCACTGCCTGGCCTTCCAAGCACCATGCAGGGGGAGTAGTCCCTAAGCACCAGGGAGTGTGGCCCCCCACAAAAGGAGATAAATGAACAGAGGAGGCGAGGGCTTACAGCACCTGCTGTCTTCCTGCCAACTCAACCACCGTCACTGCTGAAGGCTGGTGGGGCTCTCCTTCCGGGAAGGAAGGGTGGGGAGATGCTACAGCCTCTTCCTGGACCTTGGCGCAATGCATCTGGGCTCTGCAACTGGGCTGTCCAGAGCCCCGGCTCCAGACTGTGAGGCCGGATGGACCATGTTGGGTCAGCCAGGAAGTGGGGAGGGTGCTAGGGCGTCTGGCAAGTTTCCCAAACCAAGTCATGCCAGGCTGGGCTCACAGAGATGCCCGCCTGGTGCTGGCAGAAAGCAGGGTGGGGTGGCTGCTGGGGAGGGGTGATGGGGTCCCCTGTACTGCCCTATCCCACCCCACCCCACTGCATTCACCCTGCATATCTGTCACTTAGAAAGAGAGCCTGGCTGGAAAAGGGGCTATCGAGCCAGGCGGGATGCCCACGGGACACTGTGGATGGAGCCCAGAGAGACTGGGAGGGTCCCTGACCCACACACAGCTGGGATGAGGGAATTCAGCTCCAAGGGATGAAGGGTATGGATGTGACAGAAGTGTAGCTGCACCTGAGGGCAGGATGCCCTTGTCTTCCTGCTTTCCACAGGCTGGGCCTGAGGGCAGGGACCCCTAGTCTCTCTGTCTCCTGCCCGCCAGGCTGACCCACTGTGGCAGCAGGCCAGTGGCACAGCCCACACCAGAAGCACCATGATAGTATGGCACCACCTCACCGCTTTGCACAGAAAGCACCAGAACATCGGGACGAATGGTCCATGGTTAGAAGTTTGCCTCAAGGGCTGGGGGAGAGGGTATTTGGGACAGAGAAGGGAACATCATGACAATAACAGTTGGAAGGGATTGTTCCAGATTGGAGATGTGTGCTGAAAGTGGGCAAAGGACCAAAAATGATGGCCTCTCTCAGTATCTGTATTGCAAATGATAATGCCCAAAAGGAGAGGGAGAGGGGGAGGGAAGGGGAAAGAAAGAAGAGGAGGAGGAAGAGGAGAAAGATGAGGAGGAGAA